TCTGACAGAAAAGTCTTGGGGAGGGTTCTGATTGGACTAGCCAAGGTCAGATGCCTACACCCGAACCAATCGTCTGCTTTGCTGGAGCCCAATCAGGTGACTTATCCCTGACGCAGTATGGCATTATTTGGCAGTTTTCCAAAAGACAAGCTTGGTGTTTTTGCAAGATGTAAGGGGACAGGACACTGAATAATAAAAGCTATATCTGCTACTATAAACTTTACAGTTCTTACTCCTTGTCCCGTGTCTTATAATCATGTGGTAAGCTGACCTAGGAGGCCATTTTCCTCATTACCAGTCTTAATATATATTAGTAAGTGACACACTGGTAAAAGAAAAAGGGTAATGTCTGAAGATGGGAAATCAGCCACACTAATATTAACTAAGGTGGCTGTGTGAAAAAATAGCCTTAAAATGCCTCCCCAAACTCACTCAAATATTCAAAGTGGGAGCTGGAAACATGATGTCATGGGGTTTTGACAAGAGCAGGTTTTCTCCAGGTAAATTATAACACAAAGAGATTAGAGACTTCTAAAACTACATTTTTTTTAAAAGAGAAAAATGAGATGAGTAAAATGAGGCCTAAAAAATTAAGTGAATTAGTTGGGGTAACAGTTAATTAATGGCCGAATTGAGACGACAACACACTTTGTGTAATCTGGTTATGGTCTTTTAAATCCATGACAAAACCTATATATGTAAAAAATAGAGCATTCATGATTTGTTAAACTCTAAATGCCTATAAAGTTGAATTAAAAGCATCTACTATTTCAATGATCCTTGAAGAAAAAAATAGTGCACAAAGGCATCCTAATTAATTCTATGAGAATGTACACATGAAATACACGTGGAGGTATTTTCAAACAGAGTATGTGCCTATCTCTATTCCTTCCCTCTCTGTTCTTTTAAAAAATGCCCCTTTAAAAATTGCCCACTCACCATCTGTTAGGTAAATTTCCTGAGACACAGTAAATGTGGAGGCAGAGATAGTTATAGAGACTATTCCAAGTGGCACTGACACCTATATTTATGAAATTTTAAAAAGAGTAGGTTAGAGTTGCTTTTAAAAAATCTACTATAATAATATCACACCATAACAGGTGCCCAGTTCTACTCAATTACATAAGATAGATAGATAGATAGATAGATAGATAGATAGATAGATAGACAGATAGATAGAGATAGATAATAAGAAAGAAAAAAAAATAAGAAGGAAAACTAGGTACTTATGTATAAAATGTTGCCCCAAGAGTTTGAGATAATATTCAAACTTCAATGGAGAGAAAGTAAACAACTACACATTTACAAATGTGTTTCACTTAAGGTACAAGGTCCACGGGTTTAGATTTGCACTATGCTCCAGCAATGGTCAAGTTGACCACTTTTTCCATGTAGTTGCTTTTGATGGAACAATCCTGAAACAGATGCCATTCAATTCCAAATCTATGTCTTAGACCATAACACTACACATGAAATATTGTCCATTCTGAGTTAGGATGTAGCAAGAGTAATTTATACTCTCAGAGTATTTGTTCTCAAGTCAATAACAGGAAAGCCTTGAATAAAAATGTTCCCATTACTTTCCACTATATCTTACTTAAAGCCCATAAAATAACGGTCAGGGGAGATTTAGCCTCTGGGCACCATATTATATAAGCTCTCCACTTTAAGCTATCCTCACCCTGTGATTATTCTTTAAATATGTTACTCATAGTCAATATTAATTTACATTTAATCTTTCTCAGCATTAGAGAGTATTATTTTGTACGGGCTCAGAAACAAATCTCTAGAAATTCCTCCCCGATGCTTCTTTGAGGCTGAAAATGCATTACAAGGCAGTTGCAGTGACTTAATTGTAGTTGGCGGAGCCCTGGCCTCACAGTGATTTCATTAGCCTCAAATTCCTGCATTTGAAAGACCCACTGGATATAATCCCTGTCCTGTGACATGTTACTTACTTACCAACTCAGTGTGCTTATAGAGAAGAGAAGAGAAGAGAAGAGAAGAGAAGAGAAGAGAAGAGAGAGAGGAGAGAGAGAGAGAGAGAGAGAGAGAGAGAGAGAGAGAGGGAGAGAGAGAGAGAGAGAACTTGCTTAGTTTTATCTTAGGTCTGGTACACCAGTAAAAAAACAAACAAACAGCATTTGAAGTCCTAGACACTATTGACACATGAGTAGTCTTTCTTGCCCAGGTCCTAACTGCCTGGAAAGAGCCTCATTCCAGGGTCTGCTGGCAGCATCAGCATTTGTTACATCTATGACTACCTCATTGCTCCCTCCTGCCCCCCAGTGCTTAGCTCTCCCTGCCTTTAAGTCACTCAGTATTCCTTCCCCCAGCCTAGAAGCTTATTTCACCATACATTTTTGTTTCAAACGATAGGTTTGGCATGGTCCCCACAGCAACCCACAGGGATGGGGAAAAGAGAACTCAAATCTCTGGAGAGCTAAGAATTCAATCATTTCAAGGAGTTTCTTTTTTATAGGACAATCTTAATTGAGCTGAACCCTGCAATCCCAGAGAAGGTGCACCTCGCATTCTTTCCCTCTCTCCCTAATGTGCCTTTGAACAATGGGCCTGTGTACCACTGTTCTCTCTATTCATTTTGTAGGCTTACACAGCCCGGGAAGTGAGATTGGACTTGCATGCCAGGAGCCTCTAAGATCACACGCAGTAAAGGCCGCTATATATCCCAGCATGGGCAACGGTTAACCAGGGTGCCCACATCAACGGCTGTATCCAACTTGCAGCACAAGCTACAAGTTGGTGCAGTCCTCTAACTCCCATCCTCCTTTCAACAAATGTAGGTGAAAACTGGGGGGCTCCTTTTCGCTCAGCTGTTCAATCCAACATGAATAGCTGCAATTTGCAAATTAGAGGAAAATGACAGTGTTTTCTCTGAATGGTTTTGGTCCCAGCCCACACTGCTAACACTGGCTAATACTGGGTTCCTTTCCTTCCCAGAGAATGAGGAAACTAAGTGTAAGGCAGGCTGTTCCTTTTCTCACAAGTGCCCTCAGGTTCACACACCAGAAGAGGAATCAGCTCCCCCTGGAATCTTTTTCAGCAAACACAATTCTTCAACCTAGTCTGCAATCTCTCTCTCGACTTGCACATTTCACTCTTATTTCATACAGCCCCCTCTGCAGTACTGCCATGCTCTGAGCAAAGACAGGAACAGGCAGCAAAATAATATACAAATGCTAAACCAAATGCACCTTCAACCCCAGGGGGGCGCAGGGAAACCTGTGCATTGCCCCAGTGATCTCAGGTGCTCTCTGACCTCATCCTTTCCCACAGCACTGCCTCCTGAGTTGTCTAGCTTTCAGCTCGGAGATGAAGGAAGTGCTTCTGGATTTTGCTTACAACCACCCAGGGGTAGCCCCTCCTGAAAGCGCCAGCTCAGAGTGAAGGCTGTCCCCAAAGCACTTTTGGGTTTGCAAACCTCCAGGGCTCTCCATGACGGCATACTCAGGAGGTCTTAAGGAGGCTCAGAGGATCAGAGGCCATACCAGGCTGCAGCTTGGAGGGCACCCCACCTTCTGACGCAAAAACAAACTTCACACTCCTGGGAACTGATGTGATGACAGCTTGAATCGCACAAGGAGTCCCCTCCAGAACCCCAACCCCCTTCAGAAAAGCACCTGCAAGGGTGCCGGTTCTTTGGCTATGGGGAGTCATAAGGGCACCAGGGTCAGCCCGAACATCTGGAGAAGAGATGAACCGGGTCTGGGTACCACCAGGCAGGGGGAGAGCTGTGCATTAGGAAAGGATCATCTACAGACGGAGATGAACAAGACACTTGGGGGTGGGGGTAAAGGGAGAAGAAAGGCAGAAATTGAAAGAAAGAAAAAAAGGAGGGAGAAAGAGAAAGAAACATAAGGAGAAACAGGGAGAAACCAAGAGAAGGGAACCAACCCACAGTCACGCAGACCCAGAAACTCCATTTCTTAACCCCACAGCTCTCCATGTATCCCCAATGCAGCACCGGAGCCACGGGGCAGAGGCTGCGGAGCGGGCGGCCAGAGAGCACTGCGGTAGAGCCCACCGCTCAGCTGCCCCCGACCCGCCTTCCTCCCGTTTCGCCGTTGCCCTCCGGCCTCGCTCCAGAAGCCTTCTTGCCTGGCTCCGGGCATTGTCCTAGGGGCCCAGGATTGGGGTTGGGGGGCTGTCTCAGGGAGGTCGTGGGAAAGGACGGGCGGAGGGAGCAGGCAGCGAAAGCGATTTTGTTTCGCAGTTCGCATGAGCTCATCTCTGGCTCTGAAGTGACAAGAGTGGAAAGCTGATCGCCCAGCTCCTCCTGCCAGGGGCCGGACTGCAAATGCAATTGAGACGGTGCGCACATTTGCCTACAGCAGATCACCAGGGGGTCACAGCTGCGGGTGGCATCTCCCCCACTTGCGGAGCGTCCCCGTGCCTGCCGCCCCTGCCCTCGCGGAGACAGGCTACAGGTCGGGGACTCCAACCCGAGAGAGATGGGCGGTTAACATCCTCATGTGGGTGAAGACCTAGCCCCCGCTTAAGAAGCGCCTCCCTAAGCTCTTCAATTTTTCCAAGGGAGCTGCGGCTTGCTGGGAGGCTTGGAGCTGGGAAGCTGGGGAGTTGAGAAATGCCCGGGCTCGAGGCATCTTCTCATCGTTCGTATTCCATGCGCCTAACCGGCTCTCACAGGAGCCCGGCACTTTTACAAGCCTGTTTTCGGACCATATTTCACTCTAATGCAAACCCATTTAAATCATCGCCTTGTTTTTCGCATATTGCTTCTTGTAAATGGGGCCATAAATCCAGGATGTCAAGCCTGATGAAGTGGAGCGCGGACAGGGGAGAGATGGAAGGGAAATGCACGAAGCAGGGCGGGGTGGGAGGGATTCGGCAGGATCGCCAGGGTGTAAACGCGCGAAGGCTGACCGGACCCCGCATCCCTGGAGTCCAAACCAGCTTTTAGGATTAAGAGCGCGGGGAAGCTACGTCGCGCTCTGCCCCGGAGGGAGCGCCCCCCCTACCTGGAAAAGCCTCAGGATGTTGGCTACCATGATGGAGACCGAACTCCCCGAAGCCCCAATCACTCCAACTACTTTCTCGGGCTTGACGAAAACCGGAGGCTCGCCGTTGGTGCAGCGCACGTCGGAGGTATCCTTCTGGATGAGCGCCTGGACGAAAGTGAGCGACTGTTCGAGCGCGTAAGTGTCCCTGGAACAAGTGTCCAGGATCCGCGCGCCTAGCGTCACGTTGGGCAGCAGGTTGGGATCGCTGTTGATCTGGTCCAGGGCGTAGAGCATTGCTTCCAGCCTGTGGATCCCGTTCTCTCGCTTGATGTCGCCGCAGGGCACTCCGCTGGGACCCTTGGCGTGCACGGGGAATAGCCCCCCGAGGGTGACGTCCCCCTCGATCCGGATAGAGTGCGGGGCGTACATCTCCTGGCCGCGTGCCGCCGCCGCCAGCGCGCACAGGAGCACCTCCAGCACGCAGCAGGGGAACTTCATCAAAGTCAGGACGCGGAGCAGCTTCCCGAGCTGGACCATGCTGCTCCGGCTGCTCCGGCTGCTCCGGCTGCGGCTGCGGCGGCGGCGGCGGCGGCGGCGGGCTCACTGGGGGCCGGGCTCCTGGGGGTGGGTTCCTCCGGGGAAGCCCCAAAACTCCTGCAGGCGCGGAGGGTGGGGGCCCCCGGGAAGGGGCGGCCGGAGAGGGTGGGGGGTCCCGCGGCGCCTGCCAGCTTGGGGCTCCTGGCGCTCTCTGGGTCGCCGGCCCGCGCGCCGCGCTCGCGCTCCCGGCTTGCCGCTCGCGCTCTTCAACAGCCCAGCACTGGGGAGAGGGCACGGATTGCTATCGCTTTAAATGGTCGTTCGGCTCCCTCTCCTCCTCCTCCTCCCACTCCCTCCCTCCCTCGCTTGCTCTCAGTCTCTCCCCACCCTTTCCAGCGCCTGCCCTCCCCACTGGTTTGCATCATCACGCAGGGAGGGGCTGCGTGCTGAGGTAAGGGGGGAATGGGTGGGCGGCTGGCCGTGTTGGGGAGTGCCTCCGACAGGGAGTTTCTCGGTCCCCAGGGAATCTGGGGATTGGAGGTCGCAGGCGAGGGCTGAGCTCTTGCCCCCGTCTCCCTGTGGAAGCCTCTTGCTCGCCCGCCCGCACCCATGGGCACATCCCAGGCACGGGTGGCATCAGCCCAGGGATGGGGCGAGGATGTCTGGTGCTGGCTGCTCCCAACCCTGAGGTCGGGAGCCCCGGCTCTCAGCTCCGGAAGAGCGCCAGGGAGTCGCAAGGCGGAGAAGCCAGTGATGACGGAGGGGAGCGGGAAGACCCTAGTCACTACTGCTGATCCGCCAGGGCCAGTTTTTCCTAAGAAAAAGAACATACACAGAGGAGCCTGACCCATGACTTAACCTTTACCCAGAGACTTCTCCAGGGCCAGGAACTGGGCTACCCTTAGGGGAACTCCCCAACAAGAAACGTTAGGAATGGAAGTACGTTCTTGGTCTTCAGGGGTTCCTGGGGCCAGAGCCGGATGCACTCACTGCCATCGCCAGCTCATCTGAAGTGGAAAGCCTGGACTTCACCCTTTTCTTCCTTTCGTTGCAAGAGATGGAATAACTGAGAACTCTGCAGAGCACTGTCTCCCTGGCGCTGACAGGTGTAAGGCGCCCTCCTTCCATTTCCAGAGATGCTTCTCTGCTGGTGACAGGTTTCCCAGGGCAGGAAACAGCAGGAAGGAGGTGATAGGAGGAGGAAGAAAGAGGGGCAGACAGAAGTCTCTTCAATGATTCGGCATGCCTTTCTCTCTTTTCTCTGGCTGGAGATTTGCGGCAAAATCAGGATAACCAGAGTAGGCTGCAGCGCAGTTAGGAAGCTGTTTGTCAAAAGTGTCCTCTTTTGCAAGCCCAGCCCAAACTTGGCCCATTAAAGCAACAAGTGACCCTAGGAAAGCTGATGTCTTTGTCCTGGGGGACCAGAGTGGACTCAGGGAGGTTAACTCAGCTCTTCCTGAGGCTTTCTGGTGGAGTGCAGCAAAACTATATTGCACAGTTTTGAGGAGGAGAGAAGATAAGAAACAAGGCTATACTTTTTGTTGTTCTTACTAATGTACCCAAAAAAAGTCCTTGTACACACACACACACACACACACACACACTCCCAGCAAAAAGTCACAAGATAAGTAGCTGCTTGTCTCTACCACCAAGTAGCTGTGTATCGCTGGCATGTCCAATTCCCTGTTTGGGTTTCAGTTTCCCCATCTGTAAAATGATGAGATTGAATTGGATGCTCTCCAAGTTATCTTTTAACTCTCAAATCCTCTGTGAAAATGGGTCATATCCCTTTGGCCATGGTGCTCTTTTTAGACCAATATCCTCTGTTGCTGTATGTGGATGAGATCAGGTTTTTGCTACCCAAAGAACATTATAAGCGTGTCCTGGTATAGAGGATTGTTTTTTCCCTTGCCCACCATCTATTCCTTTCTTCTAAGGACAGTCTAGCCCATTAATTTCTTTTTGAATGTGCCCTTCCTTCACATTTGAATACTTAAGTTTTGAGAAAAACATATGCCACTTCCCATAATCCAGCCTTGGCTAGTCAGAGCATGGGGTCCTTCTAGTTAGAGTGATGATGTATTTGTTCAAGGATGGGCATGGAACCCAATGTGAACCACCCAGGGCTAATCCCTGGACTTTGCTGCAGTAACTAAGGTAGTGACACAGGGTTACCAGTAGCCAACAGATAATCTGTGCATGAGTTAGGGGGAAAAGTCGTGCCCCCCCCACACCCCCTGCCATCCTCAAAACACTTTATATCTTTTGGAAAATGTTATACTACTCTAATTTTGTAAGATCATAGCATTTACCACCATTTTCTAGAAAACAGTGCTGTAGCTAATATGCTAATCTACTGTTGTATATAATGTGATTATCGATGGCTCTTAGATGTGATGCCCCACTACATAGGCGCTCACCTTGCAAACCCTTATGCTGTGACAGCCCCACTCCTTCCTGCCAGTCCTAGGGCTGTGAAGAGAGTAAGCTTGTGTGCCAGAAGTTTCCACATAAATAGGGAGATATTTCCCACAATAAAAGATACAAGAGAGGGAGAAGGGAGAGAGAAAGAGGTATGAGGGTCGAGATAGGTAGGGGCCTGATTATAAGATCTGAACTCCTGGATTCAGCCTTGCCTGAAAGATTGCCTCTGGGTTTTTTTCAGTTATATAGTATTTTCTTTCTCAAGTTTGAAGCCAAAAATATCCTCTTTTAATTCACTCGTTCCAATACACTACTAGATCAAAAAGGGCAGAACAGCTGAAACAGACAACTTGCTAAGGTAGCATCAGCTCATTTGGAAAGAGAAAAAGAAGCAAGCAAAGCAATAGAAAGGCATATTTGGGAACACAAGCACTATGATCCTAATATTTAGGCATTGGTACCTCAGGCTGTATTTGACAGACGAGATCCTAAGTTTTCAATTTAAGACAATTTATTAGGAACTTGGTGACCAAAACTATTTGGAGAGATGGGTAGCAAGTAATGTCACTTGAGTTTTTTACCTGCTCATGCCTGGATCCATGTTCTGCGCTTCCCTTTTCATTTCATATACTGTGATTATTCAATAAACATGTCTTGGCTGACTATTGAATATTGCCTTATTCTGCGTTCTCCTTTGCTCTGCTCATTCTCCGCAAACATCTGGCAGCCATCATTATCTTCTTTTCATTGCGGTCACCTGTGTGCGTGTCGTCTTTCCCCTGCCAAGCTGTAAGATCCTTGAGGGTAAGGGCTGGCTATCATTTATCATGTCTCCCGGACAATGTTTAGAATGGTGTTTTGTACCTAAGGAGCACTCATGTGTTGAATGAATCAGAAACGGCTTGGCCATTCCCCATTGCCTTTCTCTGACAGTGACCGAAATACAAAGCGGCAGAGCAGAAATGACAGCAGATAAATTGCAGTCCTCTTTGTCACAGTATGCAGTTTCAAGGGTGTACATTATAATTAGTAAATTTAGAAATTATTCTGTTTTACAGAAATTGCATAAGACTGAAATGCTCTAACACTCTTGGCCAACTCTAAAGTAAGGCATTCATTGGTTCTTCCCAGGTCAAATGCTCATTCCTGGAACAATAACTGGGGCCATTGCCATAGGCTGGCTGGGGAAGGTCAAAGCCAGGCACCAGCATCGCCTGAACCAATTGGAAAGGGTGATCTGTTACCTGATAAATGGAAAAATGGCACTGAGCTTGCAAAATGTACAAACATCCAGCACATATGGTATCTAATTCATCTTTATATTTTCAGCCACAGTGCATAGGATCTGGAGCTTTATAGGGGTACAGTATTTGTTTTTTTGAGACTATATGAATGGAAAATGTTTGTGTAAAAATGGTTCATCTAACAGTGGGCCAGTCATTTTTCTAGTGTCATATTTAATTGGAGGAGAATCTACTTTTAGGCAGAAAGACGGTCCATTATAAAATGTGTTCAGAGGCTTAGTTTTGTGTAGTCATTAATCTGACCTCATAAAGGAATTACTGAAAATGGATAACTAAAGCTAAGAGCTCAGTCCTAATTTATATTCTTAGTATTGTGTTTTCTTAATCATCTCAGTTTTATTTATTTTCTTTGTTGTTTTACTTTGTCCATCATTTTCTGAAGACAATAATGTCTCCACTTCCAATCCGCTCTCTATTTAAATCCAATTTGTAATTTACAAAGTTGTCCTCCTTACCTGCTGCTGCTCCTGCTGCTGCTACACTCTGGCTGTTCTTCCAGCCTTCACGTAGGTCTTCATCCATAGTCTCCCCCATAATCTTACATTTGACTTGCACTCTGAGTGGAGGTCACTTTTTCTTGGAGAGAGAGAGAGAGAGAGAGAGAGAGAGAGAGAGAGAGAGAGAGAGAGAGAGAGAGAGAAAAGATATTATATTTCTTTTCCTGTCATACTTATTTGTAGTTGACGTCTTGTGTCACCCAGTATGTGTTTCCTGATCCCATGAATAAAGCCTGGGTAAGAATAAAATCAACCCATCTGGAAGCAGATCAAAGACAGAAAGAAAAGTGGAGCCCTGAGGAGGGTTAGGGTTAGGATTCAGCAATGCCTGATGCTGCATTTGCCTTTGAACACTACATTTTTGACACCCAAATATACTCCATCACTTGCTTAAGCTAATAATTCATTTGAGTAGGGTCTCTCAAATTGAGGATACTAATTCAGGTGGTTACTGCTAAAGATAAACAGGCAATTAAAAGAAAGATAACTGCTGATTCTCAGATAACATGAGAATGAGCTACAGAACATTTAGAACTCTGTGACATAGAGTGTAAGAGTATTAGAGTTAGCTCTTAATGTGAATCCAGACCTTGAACATAATGATATCAAATGACAGTGACTTCAAATGACCAGCTGAGTGGGAAGCATAATTAAAAATTAAGAAGGCTTGAGTATAACTGATGGATTTTTAAATTTTCTTAAAATACAACTTATGTTCATTTCATAAGCAATACAGCAACAGTATAGATTTTTTTATTTATGTAACACATGAAATATATAGGGTATAATGTTTTGCCTGTCTAAAGTTACCACGTTTCCCCGAAAATAAGACCTAGCGGGAGAATGAGCCCTAGCATGAT